CGGGGGGGGGGGGGGTCGCCCCGCGCCTCCTGCCCCTGGCTGATAGACATAGGCGTGTGCCTGTATGTTGTGTACCTATGGGGCTATTTTAACCCTCTGTGAAATGAATTTCCATCTCCCTTCGGCGCGACGTCACAGAATTTAGAATATTTCCCACTCCCCCGTTGGGCTGCGTTTCCCCAAACTGTAACCCCTCTACCCCGGGCGAGGGGCTGGGCCACACAAGCCGGAGGGGCTGGGTATGTTTTCTCATCTCAGCCTATCGAGCAGTTGTCTTTAAAATATTTCTTGTAATATCTCTGTGGAAGCACCTATTTTAAAAAACGTACGGAGGATCTGTGGGCTTTCTGCTATGTTTATTCAATCCTCAAACCTCCAAACACTCGAGAATTCGAATTATTCAGTGAGGCTTAATGAGGCTGACTCAGAGTAAAGTTATGTGCATAAAAGTCAAGGATAGGAGGCCTTGATGCTATGCATTCTTAGGTGGCTACGGGGTTTTCAATATTAATGTTTATTACTGAACAGTTTAAAGAGAAACTCAGGCTGCACCTTTTCATCAATGCTGGCTCCTTCTTGCCTTGCTGCAAAGGAGCTCTTTCGGGGGGAGGGAGGAGGGCATGGGAATTTGTTTGTTGAGGCACTGCAATCTATCAGTGTAAATCTGAGGGCTCCATGTCAGCCACGCCAACCGCAAACCTTGCCAACAACTACAACTGCTATCTCTGGAGGTTCATGCTGCTAACCACCAAGCTCTTAGGTCAATGACTTTCCCTTTGCCTCCATTTTCCGGCTGATAGAATGGGGAAAAACACTTTTGGATGTCTCAAATGACTGGCATGAAGCATCACCATGGGCTGTACTGTGATCCCTAACACAAAACATGAAAAAATGGGTAAGAAAATTTGATTAAGAGCCTTCCCCTTTCCCTACCATAGTTTTTTGGGGCTCTGCAGGTTGTTTTATTTTTTTTTTCTCTTCAGTTGCCTTTGACCCTCCTTTTTCTGGTCCTGAAGAGTACAAGGAGACCAATTGGCTTGTGGCTTTAGTGGTTCTGGTCAGTGGGGCTGCAGGAAGGACTGCTGGCCTCACACTGGAGACCTGAAGAAGACAAGCTCTTGTACGGCTCTGGAGGGGAAACTGTTCAGGTAGTCTACAAAGATGCACACAAGCATGGGAACGTTTCGGTGCTGGGCTGAACTAAACCTCTGGGGATTCCTTGCAATTAACCTTACAAACTTCTCTGGGGCTTTCCCCTGGCCTCATCTCTGCTCCCATTCACATACATATATAGTAAGAAAAAAAATTCGGTTGAGTCACATTAGGAAATATTAAGAAGAAAATGCATCTTTATTCCCTAGGTGTTCTTCCTGCTCTGCTAAAGCAGCCTCTGGACAAAGCCAGGAGCCAGCCTAGCTGTGCTACGTGGAGGATTTTGTGAACACATGTGGAGAGTGAGAGTCTCTTATGGCTTGTGTACAAGGCTGCAACTCTCTTCATTTCATTATACACAGCATGGGAAAGGCCTTCACATATCTGCTGTGAGAGCAGAGGAACAGGTAACTTCTATTTTTCTAATGTTTTTTATGCCAATTTTACTCAGACCTTCAGATGCATTTTTGCATATCCAGCTTGATAATTTTGAGCTGCTAAAGGAATTTGATCAGAAAATGCTGACTACAGGAAATGGAAAACTTTTTTTTTTTAATAAAAAAAATCTCACTTTAATGAAGTAAACATCATGTTATACTCAGATCACTTTCATGAAATTGAGTATTTGTCCTCCACAGCATGGTTTTGGGTTTTACGCTGTGTTGCAATATTCATACTACAATTATAAAAAATGCATAAACAGAGAATTGCTTTTGGAATACTTTCTTTCAGAGAAAAGCTATGAGACTATTGACTTCTTATCCCCATTCTACTTGAGGGAAAATTGAAGAATCTGAGAATTCCCCACAAAAGAAAAATTCCAAATTTTAATTAGCTTTACTAAAATGGCTGTCTGATCCCCCTTGTTTCTTCACAACATGTTGGGGAAGAATGGAAAGTAGAAGGACAGAAGAGGGAGGTGTGGTCTGCTGGTGATTTGAAACATAAGCAGAAGTCTCCATTCCAGTTTTATCTGTAAAATGCTTTCTGGTGTGAGACAGCTGCTGCCTATGAAGCCTTCTACATATCTCTTGAAATCCCAAGGATCCTTCTTTTTTTAACCTGTATTGTATCCCCATTGCCCTTGAGATCCTATATTACAGCTGCTTTCCTCAGAAGGGTTTGATAAGAATATCTCTTTTGGACCATGTCAGTGTTAGAGAATTGCTGTCAAGCATCAAGAGATGCTCCCTCTCTTCCCCCGAGGCTTTAAAGATGCTATTCTAAAATTAAAGTGCTTGGTGTAGATAAGATGCTTAGGGTTATAATGAGGTCAAGAGTTGCTGGCATTTTCCAACTAGATTTTTTTAAATAAATTGATCAAATCTCTTGCTGTGTTATTTTCCTTGTTATACGGATAAATATAGACAGACCAGGTAGAGAAACAGTCAGGAACAGGAAGCTTTTGAAAAATATTTGGAAATTATTCTGATTGCATTGTCTAAGTCAAGTTGCCCCATTTGATTATGCTGGCATCCTCTGCAATGCAATGTGACATGGAATATGTGATGTAATGAGATATGCCCGCCAAAATGCAATGTGCTTTGTTTTAGTCAGAATGTATTAATCCACTTACTGAATAATTGACCCAAAGAGATTCTGTCAAACAGTATTAAATTATTCACTGGATTTCCAAACCAGCAGACAGTGTCCTTTAAATATTTAAGAATAATGTCAAATAATTTTCCACACCAAAAATAATTCCTTTTTTTTGTGTGTTTGTGGAGGTTCCCTGGCTCTTCTCCGTTGTTTAAGGAAGGCAGGATAATTAAATAAAAGCCCATATGCCCTTCAGAGGCGCCGTGCGAGCGGGAGGGCAGAGGGTCTCCCAACCACCAGCACCCCCAGAAGGAGAAGCAACTGCTCACCTGGTTCCACTGTCAGATGCCATACTGTCAGGTGCCCGGCCAGATGCCACGCTATTAGCACATTTTCACTGCCTCGCCCATGCCTTTTAAAGCGAGTTCTCCTCATACATATACATAGGCAGATATTTTTGCAGGCAGCCTGTGGCTCGGCAGCGAGTTCCCCCGGAGAAGGCGCAGCACTGCGGGCTGCCCGGCCGAGGCTGTGAAGTGCCCTGCTATTCCCCAGCCTCAGGCCTCGCAGTACCGCTCTAGGTGTGCATTATGAGATAACAACCTTGCCGGATCAATTTTGGTGTGGAAAATAGGTTTCCTTAAAAAAGGGACACCAGTATAGCAGCATTCAAGTTCTACCAATTACAGTGTCTGACACCTTTCCCCTTGAAGGTTGTATGCTGAACGAGTACAAGGTATATTTCTGGCTTGTTTAAAAAGGATGAGGACAGGCATCTGATAGCTTACCTTAATTATTCCATTTCCTCCTCCCTATATACATTTCCAAAATCTAATTATAGTGCTTGTGGCCCCTGCTATCAGCCAGTACCCAGCGATTAATATAAAGCCATGGGAAGGACAGCTACCTCCCTTCACGCTTTCCACAACATTGCAAATATATTCCAGCAGTCTTTTGATACTAATATTTTGATACATTCATCATTGTGTTAGCATCAGCAGTAAGCAATATTTACAGTTTATAAGCTCTTCCAGGACCAACTGTTCATATTACTCCTATTAAGTCCATTCAATTTTCCACCTGAAATACCACATTTGTCTAGTCAGTTTGACATCTTTTTTTTTTTTTTTTTTTGGGTGGGGGGGAGATTTGCTTTTAATAATGAGCTTTACTTAATTGTATGTTTTGCTTCTTCCAAAGAATACATTAGGCAATCTGTTATGTATTGTCAATCAACTAAGATGCACTTGGCTGCATTCTCAGGTTTATTATCTAGGTCCTGATAAGGGGACATTTTTGGGTGGATGCATCTGTGTGTGTTGAGGTACAATTGCTTATCTGTTCTTCTGCAGCTTTATTTAGACTGGAATTTGCTGCAATGTCCTCATGAGTGAGGGAATGCTGTGGAGGGGTGTGCTCCGTGCGCAGTCGGTGGGCAGCATGGCAGCCCTCCTCGAGAACGTTTGCTATTACAAGCCACAAGCATTGTCACACTCCCTTCCCCGTTGTAAACAACCAGACTCCAAACCTATTAAATATTCTTTATTTGTAAAAATAAATAAATACAGTAATGATCCCTTTGTATCTGCTCTCCCTGAAAGACGTTTAGATCTGGCTTTAGGAGACAGCAAACCCTATGACTCTGCTCAGCCACAGTTTAATAAGAGGAAGCAAAGCCCAAACAGAACAAAAATATATAGGAAATAATTCTTCATGTTCTTCTTAGTAGTACTATTATTGTTACTTAAGGGGGGTAAATTATACCAGCATTGAAAGTAAAATTTGCAGCTCATGTAAGGACTAAAATTCAAGACTTATGCTGGTCTCCAAGCTTTTAGCACTGGAGCTGTCACAGACATCATCCAATTCAATATTTTGGCACTTTGGAACGGCAACAGCAAACCAAGACTTGGCCAAAGAATGCACTGGTCCATCAGTTTGCCTGACAATTGCCATCCTGTGGGCTTCTCTGCTACAGCCCCTACTCACTGCACAGGGAAATTCAACCCCAGAGCGAGAGCTTGTGAGAGACGTCTTTCTGCATCAAACTTCCACCTTTTTCTCATGCTTCCTGTGTACAGAAACACCAGGGTTTGTGCCTGGTCGCAGTGTGTGAAAAGCGTGTCCAAGACCCCTGTTAGCAGTCACTGCATTCAGCAGAGATAACAGATGGAGTTGGTTGGGAAGTAAGTTGCTGTTTTATGGGGAATTCTGCAGTTGCGAGGATTTCTCTTGTTACATGGAGCAGGAGCAAACAAAGTCATAGTAATTTCTAGGGGGAAAAAAACACAGAAAAGGAAATTAGGATCATATCAAAGGATTAACAGAATAAAAATCTTTGATTCTAATATCAGCCTTTAAAAATTCTGTATAATAAGTGTACACATATAAAGGAATTAAAAGCCATAATATTGAAACAGAAAATCTAAATCTTTTTCTGAAACGACACACAAGCACTCTGGTCTTCCATGCATGGTTAATTTCTCTGTGCTTCAGGTTTCACTTCTTGCATCACTGCTGATACCTCAGGTGGTTCAAGCCCAGGCTTCTCCCTCAGCATGCTGTCCATACTGTAGCTGTTGAATGGGGCAGCACAGAGCTACAGCCATGACTCTGCTGTTTCGAGAGGGATCTCCTCAAGCAACACCCACCACTGTGGAAGATCAAGCAGACAGGAGAGGCGGGGAAGGCAGTATCCCAGGGACCTGCCCCAAAAGGTGTATCTTCCTGCAGGAACATGCCCAGGTAGGTGGAGGCATTCCTCCAGCCCCAGTGTGAAAGAGAAAAGGAAGAGCAGGGACTGGTGAAGGTGCTTACTCTTCCCTTGAGCAGAGGATCACAGGTGCTGTGCAGGCACCCTGCCCCTCTGATGGATCAAAAGGAGAATTTCTCCCCTTCAGCACTGGGTGAAAGCCCTGGGACTAACAGACATCTCCTGCAACCCTGCTGTGATGGGGGTCTTGCAAGTGTAATCCTCCATCTGTATTTGAATAGAGAGAAGTGGAATAATTTTCCCCAATCACACAGCTAATGGCCATTAGAGCTGGGCTAAAAACCTCATCTTTCAGTTTCCAGTCTAAAGCAACAAAACCCATGTTTCTCCTAGTAGAGGCTATGAGGCAGTGCCTGTGGTGTGCGTTCTATAGGCAACATTCATTACGCTGATGGACATATACTGTGTAGCCTGCATAAAACCAGTGAAATGAGTTTAGAAGCCTTTGCCTTGCCTCGCCAGCCATGCCAGCAGGATGCTGCAATGTTGCTGGCTGGGAGGCAGTCCTGCAAACCAAGCTTTTCAGGAGAAAGGCTGCTTGAGCTTTGCAGAAGAGCACCTTAAACCTCAGGTGCCGCAGCGCTATCCGGCAGGGTGGTGACACGCCAGGCTGTGCCCTGCGCCTGTGTGTGTGTGTGCTGGTGGGCTGACACCAGCGGGAAACAAACGGCTTTCCAATGGCTTGGTGCCAGAGGGGACATGCACAGCATCCCCAGGCAGCCTCAGCGAGACATCCGACTGATTAGATATTGAGGTCAGGCGCTGAGATACCAAGGTCGTGCCACATCCTGCTTTCCTCATCCAGCTGGGCCCCGATAAAATAGCAGCTGGTACGACCACCAATCAGATAAGGTGGCAATTTTCAACAGTCTCAAATTATTGTCGCAGCGAGGGAGGTCCAGATAAGATCAATCAGACGCTTGAACGATTTAGCCATTCCTGATTTTTTCCCCCCTCCTTCTTTTTCTCTTCCTCCCTTCTGAAGACGCAGCCTGTCTTGTGAATGAGAACGCAGGGAGCACTCGTGGAGTCCCCCATCATCCTCAGAACAAAACACGAGGGTTGATTTATGGGCTGGATTACCGGATAACGGTAATGCTTTGCTCTTTATGATGTTTTGTTGGAAGGTACAGTACCCTCCAGTCAGAGCAGCAGGATTGCAAGGAAGTTTTTACAAAAGGGGTGAGAGAAGGAGGGGGTGGGGAGTACGGCGGCTCCTCTAACACAGCAGTTAATAAGACACCAGCACATTAATCATGTGACAGGTATTGAGTCTAACAGGGCAAGGCAATAGTTTTTAAAAACAGCCAGTTAAGTTACTACCTGGTAGAAAAAGGCTGACTGAATGCCACAGGTTTTATGCCACTATTTGCAATTAAAGTTATTTTTTGTCCCTTTTTGTCTTTTTTTTTTCTGGTTTGGAAGTTTTAAAGTGCCTTTTTGGCGCTGTAAGAAAATAAGAGATAAACCATGCAGGGATGTAACAGAGGGCTGCACAGTCCCTTTCTTCTCGACCTGCCGTACCCTGGGTTGTACCTTGGGCCTTTGCACAGGACCACACAGTGATCCTCTCCTGCACTGCGACCCCAAATGTTAGACACAACTGAATTACTCCTGAAGGTCACGGCACAGAAGATAGTCTCCAGTACTGTGATACAACCAGGGTATGTTCCTCCTGTTGAACTTGATCAAAGCAGACCTGATTCTCAGCTGCAGCCTAGAGATGTGGCTCCTCTCTTTCATGTGACTCTCCAGGAAGCTTTATCATACTAGACCATGTACACCTTGGCCTCTTTTATCATCACCTGCCCGATCAGAAGTGGCAAAGTCAAAGCGGAGGAAGAGTTGGGGTAATCCTGATACGCAACTACAGATGAGCCCATACCTCCTTGGTGTCTTTTATTCAAAGGAGCTCCAGTCACTTTAATCCTTCAGTTATCAATGTCCTAGTGCAACTTATTTTTCATTGCTAAAACCCTAAAACCTGATCATTATCAGAAACACTATAAAACAAGGTAGCGAACATTACTAAATGAACCATTCCCAAAATTTTGTAGGCTCTCTGCATGTGTACATGCCCTTCATTTTGAGCCTATGTCAAACACCACTTGCCATAACAAGTTGGGAGCACTGGGCAAAACCAAAGCAGGCAGATTAGTCATATCTGACTAGGTGAAGTTTTGTCTTGCTTTCCATAGGAGAAATAAAGATTTCCAGAACCATATCTTTTGGCCACTACTGCATGATGAAATAGGCCTTTAAGATAGGATGCAAACAGATGTCACCATTGAAAAAGAATCAGAAGAATTGCCTTCCCAAAGGACATCAGAGTCCGTCTTGTTCATTAATGGAACCCTGCCAATGATCAAAGCCTAATCTTTCAAGGGAAAATAAAATAATATTTGTAATAAACAGAGAGAAAAATGCACTTTGTTCTGATACGGCACTATGGGGAAAAAATATGGTCTTGACTCCAGACTAATCATCAGCAAATGCCAGGCAACAAAAGGTGAACAGCACAAGTATGTGGCTCTGCTCCTGAGAAACATAAAATGGAGTTTCATGGTCAGTGCTGGCAGTGGCTGCAGTAAGTACAGCTTCCAGGGAGGTAGCTATTTTTGCAAGATGCAACCCATATATTTGGGAGCAGATCATATAGGTAATACACATGACTTGCCTGAGAATCATCAATTTCAGAAGGGCTTGTTGTCTGGGCTAAGGAGCTGCCTTTACTCTAGTGAATATGATGGCTGTTGGAACTCAGTACACTTTTTCTGAGCTAATGTGTGTGAGCATCACTCCTCTGGAGACAAGAAAACCATAGTGATTCTCAGCAGCTGAAGACGTGACCCACAGTTTTCAGATGTTGGTTTAGTTTAATTTGCCTTTTAAAGATTGCAGATTGAATTTGGAGGTCTTTGTGCTTGGTTTTACAGACTCAAGAAGGCATTTGACAGCAGCAGTCCTGAATAATGGCTGCACAGATTTCATTATGCTAATCAGATTAATTTCTTTTTTAATTTTTTTCCTTTTACGTATTTTTTGTGCCAAAGAGTTTAGACTAAGAAAGATATTGCTGTGAAATAATTCCTCTAGCAAGTTCTGATATATTTTTATGAAAAATAATTTTAAATTTATTTTATGTTGTCCCAGCTGTTGTGTCTCTGCAATTTCTCTTCATGTCATAGCATCGGAATATAGTGCAGGTTACAAGGAAACTGAGGGAGATGCCTGAGCTAGTTTTAACTGAGTGGTAGTTTGAAATAGCACTGCTGCAAATGTATTTCTTCTTGTATCTAAGCCAGTTTAAAGCAGTTGGCTATCTCTATTTCACACTGCTGTCTGGGATGTAGATATACACTTCCAACCCTTAGCCAATTAACAGAAAATATTGACAAACACTCTCGCACTTTAATATTTGTTTCTCAGTGGAAAATCCTTCCCTAAGTACATTATGGTGTAATTTCACTTGTAGCTGAATAAATACAAATATAACTCATGCAGTCATGTTTGCCACCCACCTCTGTCTCTGCAGAGCTCTATGGGCAACTCCAGGGATGCTCCAGTTCAGAAGAGCAGCTTGATCTGCTGAAGCTGGTGCTGCTGCCACTGGCCTGGCTAGCCCCGTCCTGGCCAAAGGGAAGTCTTGGCCCTACTGAACTCACTGACAAAACTCTCACTGATTATATGTGTGAAATATGTATTGCAGCAAACACTCAGAATGCACAAAGAGCAAGTCTGCCTGTTTTCTTTCCCAGAAACAACTGGGCTTTGCAGCCAGACTGTCACTTTGAGCTTTGGTGCTAAACAAATCACTCTGTCATCTTCTCACTCTTGCTCAACATAGCTCTTTTTTCACTGTGTTGTTCTGAGCATATGATATAGTTATCAAAATTAAGGAAGGTTTTGTTTCTTTTTTCCACACTTGGCATTTGGATTATGTTTGCTTTTGGGTGGGTTTTCTTTTCAACAGAATACAGAAACATAGGAAGTATAAAGTTATCTTGTAATTGCCAGAGTACAGATAACAACTTGTGAAGGGTTTAAGCCTACCTAACTCCCACCCAGACCGGCTCCATCTCACCTAAGAGCCTGCAGTCCAGCCCACTGACTTCCCAGGAGTCCTTTCCCTGCAGACACTTGCAAGGGTTAGATAATTTCCTAATTAACCTGAATGTGCTCCCATGGCTCTGTTTTAGTTGCATATTCGTGTTTGGAAGCAGCCACTCTGGTGCAACAAGCACGTTTCTCTGAGCCAGAGCGATGGTGCAGTGGCAGCAGAGATGGACAGACAGCTCACCTCCACCTCCTTCCCCAGGGGTGTCTGCCAAATTTCCTGAGGGACTGTGCTGTGACACCACATAGGAAGGCAGAGCCTCAGGAGATCCCAAGGGCAGCAGGTACATTAACAGCTCCTACTCCTTCAGTCTCTTCTCTATGGCAGAGGAATGCTTGTGGCTTAAACCTCAGGAATAGCTAGAGTCCTGTATGGTCAATGGAGACTGAAGGGGTGATTAAGTTATATGGATAGATCACCCTCTGGAGACCTGCAAAGTTATCTACTTATTTACACTTCGTAGAAAATGTAGGAATAATCTGGCAGCAGAAAGCTAAAATTTTCTGAGGCAGCACCTAAATAGGAAACTCAAAGTAGATGGACTGTGTTCCACTTCTGGTTACTAGGCTAACAAATGGTCTATAAAGAAATAAATTTAAAAAAAATAAAATAAAATTTAAAGGAAAAATAAAGGAGAAAATGAAATCTTTTGCAGCACACTATTTCTTTTGTCATTCTCAGCTCTTTGAAAATGCCTCAAACTTTCTTTTTGGTAATTGCTATGCAAACATTTTTGATGTCTGTGCAAAAACATCTGGAAGCTTACAGTGGCATCTGGACATAAATATTAAAAGATCAACAAAAACCTGATGTGAATTAGCCATGTGGATAGCCATAAAAACCACAACCACAAAAACCTGCTTCAAGTTTGGCTGCAAAAGTGAATGCCTTCTCACTTGTTTTTTGTGTTTATGAACTGACATTTAAGAAGTGAGCAGTCATGACTAATGGTTGGGTTTTCTTTCATTTTGACCACTCAATCAGATTAGAAACTCCCTGGCCTGATTGAATGGGTGGGAAATGCCTCTCACTCCCTCTTGAAACCCTCTGCCAAAATTTTGGTGTTCTACGTGAAAGTTTTGATTCAGGTTGTGAAACGTGTCCTTGCAAGGCTCCTTCTCCTGCTGGACACAGCTTGGAGTCCCATTGAATTTGTGCTGTGGAATGCAGTGCCACGGCCAGAAATACCTGAGAGTAATCGCTGTGGGCACTCACTGCCCTGTGTCATGAGAACAGAGGTTTTGCTGTGCTCAGGTCTTGCTCTAGTGTTCCCACTGGGGAGAGGTGCCGTGAGAGAAGCAACGTGATTCTAAGGTCCATCTCACATAGGGCAACAGAAGGAAAACAGCAACCCCCATCCAGCTCTCACAATGTCAAAAAAGTAAGCTAAACCAGTAATTCCATGATTATTTTTCAGCTTATGGAGTCCAGTCTCACGACTTTTGAGCCCCTCAGGTTGGCAGAACCGCAAGTCACTTGCTAACAAGGACATGAAGACACCTAAATCTCTTTCCTTTTAATGAGTCTGCAATGGAGATAATCAAAGGTTTTAGAAACTGACAGGAGTCAAGTATGTAAATGGATTTGATAACCCAGGTCTTATTACCTTGATTTTCTCTTGGTAAAAACAGAAATAATAGCTTTTCCCCTCCAGAAGTGAATACATGAAAGATTGAGCAGTGCTAGTATAATAGAGATCCTTTACATTTTCCAAAGAGAACAGGAAAATGAACAGTTCAGTGGATATGGATCAGCTAAGTGATGCTGGATCTTCTAGGTGCCATCACTTGTTCTCATCTTGTTTTTTTTCATTATTACTGTTTTCTTCCTGGTCTTTTAGCTTTGTTTTCTCTTTCACTGCAGGCTTCAGTGCTATTCACCTCAGGAGTGGTCAATCACACCCCAAGCTGGACTGCTTATGGAGCGGACTTGTTTTGATAAAGGTATTTCTGTTTCTCTCTTTTCTGAAGACATATGTAGTATTTTACAATGGAAGGAGAAATGCTGTAACTGGCTGTTGCCCTCTGCAGTTGCTAACCCACTGGGATATTCTGGATAGGACCAACTACCAGGTGAACATATTAATCTAAAAGACTTTCAAGAATGGAAACACACAGATGTTTGTATTTGATTTCTGCCCTAATATTTGGTGAGGACTCTATAATTTAAATAAAAGGGTTCATTTTTCCCCAATTTAATGTCTTTTTAACAGTGTGGGAGTTATAAACATTATAATAATTTTACCACTTTCATATTTAAAAATATGCCCTCTAAGCATTTACATTCAAGATTTGTTTTTCTTCAGATGTGTAAATAACGCATAGTAATTTGCATCTCATGCATAATTCTTTCTCCTGTTGAATGCAAATTGAAAAAATAATAATAATCCAGCCCCCAACCCCTTTCATTTGCTTTTTTTCCCACCTCCTCATATTAATGGCAAGTTAGCTGGCTAATTCTTCCAAGGAGAATTTTGGGGGTTTATGTGTGTTTAAAAAATTATCTGACTGAAGTTTTCTTCCACTGAGTAATAAGAAGCCTAGAGCTGATTAATAGTGTTTCCTTTTCCAGTCCTAATGAATGTTTTTCAGGTTTTATGCATCCCAGATGAACCTATTTTAAATAGTGTGTGTATGCGTGCATGAGCGTTGCTCTTTCTTGGGATTTATCCAAAATGAATTTAGTTTCTCGGTACCTTGTAGGACAGTATCGATGCTGGCTTAATCAATTTCAATTTGCTGTTAAACCAGAAACAAAGCATTTATCAGGATGAGCCAGGAAGGGCTGAATGGACATTTTGTGTTGCTGAGGGTGCTTTGTGAGATTTGCTCTGGGAAGTTGCTGGAGCTCCAAATTTACAAGAAGCTCTCCTCTGACTGGCACTTGCCACCTTGTCTGGATACACCCCCGGGGTGGTTTTACTCTACAAGTTCCCTGCGCCGGCAGTTTCTGTGCTTGCTTATCCCTATCGCGGGCCCAAGCCCACTAAAAATACCTTCTCTGGAGAGTCTTGCTGCCTTCATAAAAACGCCACCAAAATATCTCATTGAATCATCTTCCTCAGCTCAGGCCGGCGCTGCTATTTATGTCTGTAGAGTCACTTCTGCCTCCCCGGCTGCTTCATGCCGAGATCCGGAGCCAGCCTGGGCAGACGTGCCGTGGTGCCAGCCGTGGCAGGATCTCTCCCGGTGGGCGAGAGCCTTCTGCTGGCGCCGAGAGCCCCAGCCCCGGGTGTTGCAAACTCCCCGGCTCCTGGGGGCAGGTGGTGTTTCAGGGATCAGCTCTGACGCCGCCGTGGCAAGCGGTGGGTGAGCGTTTCCTCCGCTGCCGCCCGATCACAGCGATACTAATTTTAAGGTGGTGAGGAAGAGCAGGGAGGTGACAGCAGGACGGGCCCAGCTGTTCATGCCAGGGAGGCAAGCGGCACTTTTATCCGGAGAGGGAAGGCAGGAACCCCCCCTTTCACTGCACAGGCTGGGGGAGCGGGGAGAGGAAAACGCTCTCTAGATTCCTGTTTCGTTTCAGAAAAGTGTTTTTGAAGACTCATCCTCTCTTCCCCTCCTGCAGGTTATATTTAGTTTTAAGTTCTCTTGGCTCCGGCATTGATAGCTCCTTACCATTTCCACCGCAATTAATCAGAGCAGGGTTGATTATGCTTTTGTCTCTGATTGTGTAAATCAGGATCCTTCTGTCTAAGATGAGAAGACCTTTGCTGCCCATCCCGTCCTGTCCCATCCCATCCCATCCCATCCCATCCCATCCCATCTTATCCCATCCCATCCCTCCAGCAAGGCCAGGCTGCCAGGTATGGCCAGATTTGTGCAGGGGCCATCTCTCCTGTGCTGAAATTACATGGTGGAGGGCTGAGGCAAAGGAGAAGGCAAGCATTGTGGCTTCAGTGTGAGAAGCTGTGAGATGGACGAAACCACCGTTTTAGGGAGCCTGTTACCTGGTGGTACGAGGGGAAGATGTGAGGGGCTGGAGGGCTCTACTCTACCTGCTCTGCGACACGGGCAACCTCATCACTTCTTCAAACGCTGCTTCAAAAGCTGCTTGAATACAGCACAGGGTAGCACCTGTGCAATACAAACTGAGAAGAAAAGAGTAGTTTGGGATAGAAAAAAGTATTCACAGTAAAAAAGTGAGAGTCCCAAAGAGCTCCAGGTCCCAGCAGCCACTTCAAACACCCCACACGCTGCTTCCGTCCTTGTTTCACAAGGAGCGGCAGGCATGGGACCTTGAGGAGAGAGCATAAGGGCTTTGGCCCTTGCCATGGGCCTGCTGGGTCACCCTGAGGCAGCCAGGCTCTCACTGAGATCAGTGGTCATTTTGGGAGAGCACGAGCACAGGAACAGCTGTGAGGATGCGTGACACCTTCTGTGTATCTGGAGAGGTTAATCGAAAGAACAAACTGTAATCGCAGGAGTCCCCAGCATGAGTAGGCTATAGATACTAGATTTACTGGCTCTTCAGCATTTGCTTTTTTCCTTAATACTTCAACAGCCCATGAATCTGGCTAGAAGATACATGCCAATTTAGAATAAGGTTGTACCTGCAAATCTCAAAGCTCTTTAAAAATATCTATTTTAACTCAGCTCTCATGTGGGAGTGCCTGCTTCACTGGTTTGTAGTCTGAGGTCCGGAGGGGTTAAAGTTATTTGCCCAAAGACTTAAGATGCAGAGCTGAGCAGGCAGCAGAGCTGAGGGGTTGCAGTTCTCAATACGCCACTCCAAGCACTTGTCCATAATCCCTCCTTTTCAGTTAACAGCAAATGATAATTTATAACATTGCCTCTTAGAACAGCGAGCGCAGTATTGCTCTCCAAAGCAACCTGGGTCAGAAATCTTCCAGTTAAACTAGCTAAAACTGCAGAAAATATTTCTGAAGGACAGACACTCTATGCGTCTTTTCTTCCACCTGCCTAAACACAGGGTGGTGTGTTTCTGTTCTGGTTTTAAACAGGACTGATGAGTTGCAACTTCAATTTAGCTTGCAGGGTGTAATATTTGATTTTGCTGTATCTTCAGTTATCAGATCACATCCTTAATACACCCTTACTTTTCAAGTAACAGTTCTGTAGGCAGAGGTGAAAGTAGCCAGGGAGAACACGTTTCCTTTGCTCATATAAGAGAAGATGAGAAGTAACATGATCTTGACCTCTGAAAGTCAGGGACAGCTCTGAGGGTGGGTGACTTGAGCCAAGACTTCTGCTGATCATATAACAACAACACATGCTGGTGCCATAACGTAGGCATGGATTAACTCTTCAGACAGGGATGTGTTTTCCCAGTTGGCACTAAATTGCATGGAGTCCTAGCCCCTGTATGGCTGGAATTAACTGGATACGGGTATCCTGCATTGTTTATAATTTTAACTTTTTTTTTTTTTTTATAGGGAAAAAGGCAAGCTGATTCTTAGTAGATTGCATTGCTAAATTTTTGGGTGGAGAAGAAGCAATTCCTTGAGAGAATTACATCTTCAGATGATGTCATGAGGACCATCACTTCAGGGTTTTATTGCTCCCTAAGTAATGTACTGTCTGCCCTTTCCCAGGAATCTAGTTTTATACAATCGACAAACAGCAGGGGAGCAAAAAATATCATTTGCAGGACATCGTAAACTCACACAAGTAAATGTGGACACAAACTATAAGTCAGCTAGTACATTTACAGATGTTCATTCTTATCCAGCTATAGCTACTGTACCTCAGAGGTCTTGCAAACGTGGTGCAGAGGCTGCTTTGCCATGTTGCATGGAGAAGTAATGAAGTCACATGATGCTGTTGTTTCCATCTTTTTTTTTCCCAGCTGCTAAATTATATTATAACGCACTAAATAGATGCTCAATATTTTCCTTATAAAAATTTATCATGTAGCAATTAGTGCAGTTAAACTCAGTGCGGATATGTGATTGTAAATGGGAGGTGGCAATCAGCATAATTAGAAAAGGAAAAGATGTGCCTGCAAAACAGCCTCTGCATTGCAATATTGCCCACACTATAAACACCTCACCACGTGGTGTGTCCCTTCTTAGTTACACAGTGTAAGTCCTCTGTTGATTCAGGCTTGAATTACACAGTAAATCTTGTTTGTGAATTTATAGACTGTCCCTTTGAAGGCAGAATTGTGCCAGCCTATTTATTTAGAGTCCTTTTTTCACTGCAGCAGCATGCTTTTCAGATGTAATACCTTAGCACAAAATCCCTGAGTGACAGCAGCTCTGCAGGCTCATGATACTTATAATACATTATATATTATCAATAAAATGTTGCAAGACATGTCATAGATCTTATTAACATAACTTTAAATTATGGATACAACTTTGACCTATCTGTTGATGGATTAGAAGCAAAACTTGAATTGTTAAACAGAAGTAAAAGGCTCAGGGCATCATTAAACCAACTGTTTCAAGTAAAATGTCTGTATTTCACCATAAAAAGTCAAAGCAAACCTGAAAAGTTAGCTGTCCCCAAGGCAACTTACAAAGTTTAAAGAAAACCAGAAAGAGCTTTCAAGTCTTTTTTTTTTTCTCTTTTCAATTACATTTGCCATTGCCCTGATATTAATTATGATCCAAATTGCTCCTAGAGACCTTGACTGCCCTAAAATGGTTTGCTTTGTGCCTCCCCCCATCCCCCAAAGCAAACCAGAGAAAATAAGCTCTGAACTGCCAGGAGAAGCAGACAGGAACCAGACCTTTGGATACTGGTGATGCACACATTGCCTGCCCATTGTGTCCCATTTTGGAGTTGAAATTCATTATGTCAAGACTAGAGAGTGCAGTGACAAGGAGGGTCCAAACAGAGATTTAGAAGTGACTCCTCAGACATGCAGGAGTCTGTGCTGGCAGATTCAGCTGCAGAATTTGGATGTTAGGTCTCAAAAGGATCTTTTACAGATTTTCTGAGAAATATCTAGGATGTTTGTGAACGCTTAGGTAGCT